ATCTACAGGAAGTCACAACCATGTGTCAGAGCAGGAAAGATGGCCACAGCTCATGTTTGTGAACCAAAGCAGAGTTTCCGAACCAAAGCAAATTTTTGTGAACGTTTCTGTTCGTGAACCGAGTTGTTCGTAAACAGAAGCGTTCGTGAACCAAGGTATTACTGTATGTATAATAAATATTAACATAGAAGTTTTCCAGGGTTCACAGATATGGACCACTCCTATTTGTTAAATCAATGCTCCAAAACAAAGGGATACTTTTTGGATGGCCTATATAGAAACCATAGTTAAAAAGGTTTATTAAATAAATAGTCCGAAAAATTGTTTTACCTTATAGGCTGTAAAGAAAAAAAATACATTTTAACACAAACACAAAATGACCGACATCCTAAAAATACAAGACATTTAAAATGAATAAACCACAAGACACAAGACCCCAATGAGATATCTATGACAGGGATGGAACCTGTATAATAATAACTATTCCACTTTTATTCTCCAGCAGTGGACTCAAAAAAAATCAGCACAGTCATCATATTAGAAGATTAGATTATATTTGCTTCACAGACTGCAATATCTTATTTTCTAATGTAGCCAGGTGCTGCCAAGTTGTTCTCATTACATACTTTGGAACTATTAGCAACTGAGAGCCACAGGTCTCCAATGTGCCTGCTCACCATTTCTCTTTATTATTCTCACCCCCCCATTTCATGGTTCTGGACTTAAAGAGGAAAAGCACAGCCCCAAATAGCATGTTTGGAAATGTAGCTCTGCGGAGGGGACAGTGGTATTGTGTTGGATCAATGAAAAACTACCGTTTCCAGGAGGCAACAGGAGGAGAAGGAGCAAAGGGATTCTTAGCAGACTGCCCAGGCAATTTCAGGGCAGCCAAGATGAAGGAGAGCATGGACCTATGTGCAGTGTGTCTACCTGCATGGGGTCCCAGCCAGTGGTATGGCCAGTGAGTCAACTGTCACCATGGGGAAACAGAATGTAATCGCATCTGCTGCTGGCAAACCACGAGAGTGAAGGACAATGAGATTGCGCACCATCATCATCCACAGTGTTTTATCCAAAAACTGATGAAATAAATGAACTTTTGCACAATATTCTAATTTTTCGAGTTTCACCTGTAAGTATTTGATCCCCTGCTGGCTTTGAATGTGTGCCCACTCACAAAGAAATGATCAGTTTAAAAATCGAATGGTAGGTGTATTCTAACACTGAGAGACAGAATAGCAACAAAAAATTCAAAAGAAATGCATGTCTAACAAATTATGCACTGATTTGCATGTTCATGAGGGAAATAAACATGACTTAGTACTTGGTGGCAAATCCTTTGTTGGCAATCACAGAGGTCAGACGTTTCCTGTAGTTGGCCACCAGGTTTGCACACATCTCAGGAGGGATTTTGGCCCACTCCTCTTGGCAGATCCTCACCGAGTCATTAAGGTTTGGTGGCTGATGTTTGGCAACTCAAACTTTCAGCTCCCTCCACAGATTTTCAATTGGATTAAGGTCTGGAGACTGGCTAGGCCACTCCAGGAACTTAATGTGCTTCTTCTTCAGCCACTCCTTTGTTGCCTTGGCCGTGTGTTTTGGGTCATTGTCATGCTGGAACACCAATCCACAACCCATTTTCAATGCCCTGGCTGTGGGAAGAAGGTTCTCACCCAAGATTTGATGGTACATTGCCCCGTCCATTGTCCATTTAAGGCGGTTGTCCTGTCCCCTTAGCAGAAAAACACCCCAAAGCAGAATGTTTCCACCACCGTGTTTGACAGTTGGGATGGTGTTCTTGGGGTCATAGGCAGCATTCTTCCTCCTCCAAACATTGACAATGTTGGTGTCTATTCTTGCGAGATAGTATTATTGCTGAATATTAAAGTACTGTTGTTGATCTCTCTTTGTGAACTCAGTCAGGTGTGTCAGAGAGGCTGAAGGGTTTAAGAAGGTAGAGGCCAGCATCGGAAGACCATCTAAATCAGAGGCTCTTTCAGGGATAATGCTACACTTTTACAATGACAAACTTTAGTGAATAAAAATACAGATTTTTACATGTGTACAAAAAATGAAAAACATTCCTCTAATGCACCAGTGGTTAACCACTTCAATACCGGGCATTTACACCCTCTTCCTGTCCAGGCCAATTTTTAGCTTTCAGCACTCTCACACTTTGAATGACAATTGCATGGTCATGCAACATTGTACCCATATGAAATTGTTATCGATTTTTTGAGACAGATAGTGCTTTCTTTTGGTGGTATTTAATCACCACTGGGTTTTTAACCACTTTAAGTCCACCCTATAGCTGATTTACTGCTACAGGGCAGATGCTCTGTGCAAAATCACGTATAGAAATGTGCGCGCTGCTTTTTCTGTGATTGGACATAGCAGAAGCCGATCAACAGGGTGCCGGCCAATAGATGAGCGTCGGCACCTGTTGATCGCCAAGGATACTGACAGAATACATCTGCCTATATAAACAAGGTAGAGCTGTATTCTGTTGGCGATCTGCTAGATTTTCTTTCCCTGCAAAATAGGGAATAAAATCTAGCAGATTGCCTAATAAAAACAGCCACACAGTACACAAATACACTGGCTAAGCACACAGTTAACCCTTTGATCGCCCTAGATGTTTTAACCCCTTCCCAGCCAGTGACATTAATACAGTGACAGTGTGGTGGTTCCCACAAAGTGTCAGTTACTGTCAGAATGTCCGCCGCAATATTGCAATCCCACTATAAGTCGCTGATCACCCCCATTACTATTATTAAATAGAAAAATCAAGTATGTATACTGTAGTTTGTAGACACTATACCTTTTCAACAAACCAATCAATATACACTTATTGGGATTTTTTTATCAAAAATTTGTAGCAGAATACATTTTGGCCTAAATTTATGAATACATTATATTTTTTACATTTTTTAATTGGATATATTTTATAGCAGAAAAATAAAAAAAACAAAACAAAATGTCCATCCTTTTCGTTTATAGTGCAAAAAGTAAAAAACCCAGAGGTGATCAAATACCAACAAAAGAAAGCTCTACTTGTGGGAAAAAAATTACAAATTCATTTATGTACAATGTTGCATTACCATGCAATTGTCAGTTAAAGTAACGCAGCGCTGTATCGCAGAAAAAGACTGGTCATGAAGGGGGGAAAATCTTCCGGAGTTGGGTAAACGAAAAAAATAAATTTGAAGACGTTTGTAAACAAACAACAAAAGACTGAAAATTTTGAAAAATAAACCTTTTGCTTAACCATTTGCCCTCCGGAGGATTTACTCCCCGTCGCTGACCAGGCCTTTTTTTTTTGCTATTCCACGCTGCACTATTTCAACTGGTAATTGCACAGTCATGCAATGCTGTACCCAAAATAAATTTATGTCCTTTTTTTCACACACAAATAGAGCTTTCTTTCGGTGGTATTTGATCACCTGTGCGCTTTTTATTTTATGTGCTATAAACAAAAAAAGACAATAAATTTTGAAAAAAAAACATATTTTTTACTTTCAGCTATAAAAAATATATAGTAAACTCAAAGTTAGTCATACATTTAGGCCAAAATGTATTCTGCTATATGTCTTTGGTAAACAAAATCCCAAGAAGTGTATATTGATTGCTTTGTGTGAAAGTTATAACATCTACAAACTATGGTATAGATACTGCAATTTACACCATTTTTTGCTATACAGCGCTGCACAAGTTTAACTGACAATTGCACGGTCATGCAATGCTGTACATAAATTAAATTTATGTCCTTTTTTCACACAAATAGAGCTTTCTTTTGGTGGTATTTGATCACCTGTGTGCTTTTTATTTTTTCGCGCTATAAACAAAAAATACAAAAAAATTTGAAAAAAAAACCCAATATTTTCTCATTTCTGTCATAAAAAATAGCCAAAAAACTCAAATTTCTTCATAAATTTAGGCCAACATGTTTAACATGTTTTTGTTAAAAAATCTCAATAAGTGTATATTGATTGCTTTGTGTGAAAGGTATAGCATCTACAAACTATGGTATAGATCAGGGGTGAGCAACTGTGGCCCTCCAGCTGTTGGTGAACTAAAAGTCCCATCATGCCTCTGCCTTTGGGAGTCATGCTTGTAACTGTCAGTTTTGCAATGCCTCATGGGACTTGTAGTTCTACAACAGCTGGAGGGCCACAATTGCCCACCCCTGGTATAGATAATGGAATTTACACAGCTTTTACTTTCTGACTGCCTATCACATTTCTTGAGGTACTAAAAAACCAGGACAATACAAACACCCCCAAATGACCTTTTTCAGAAAGTAGACATCCTAAGCCAGTGATGGCGAACCCGTGGCACGCGTGCCACAGCCGGCACGCCGAGCCTTATCTGTGGGCACGCCAGGAGAATACCGTAATTTTCGCTCCATAAGATGCACTTTTTTTTCCCCAAAAAAAGGGGGGAAAATGTCAGTGCGTCTTATGGAGCGAATATAGAGCGGCCGGTCCGGTATTTCCACCGCCGCCGTGTCAGAATACCGGGCCGGCCGCTCAGCTCTGCAGTGGGACCGTACCTGTCCCTCTATCCAGCGGCGCGCTGTCTTCCCGGCTTCTGTAGTGTGCGTGACAGCCGGGTCCCAAGTGCGCATGCGCAAGAAGCAGTGCTCTTTGTGAATGGTAAGGGGGTACCTGGGACACATGACAGATCCCAGAAGCCGCCGGACCAATCACAAAGCGCAGCGCTTCTCGCGCATGCGCACTGGGCATCCGGCTGTCCGACGACCGCCCACACTACAGAAGCCGGGAAGACAGCGTGCGGCTGGATAAAGGAACAGGTAAGATAAAAAAAAAACTCTGCGGAAGTAAGAGCGGGTACCTGTCAAATTCAGGTACCCGCTCCCCCTCCCTCCCCAAAGGTCAGCAGTTATCTGTACTGTCCGCAGTCTCTGGTCATCCCTGTGCTTTCCGCAGTCTCTGGTCATCTCCTGTACTGTCCTCAGTCTCTGGTCATCCCTGTACTGTCCGCAGTCTCTGGTCATCCCTGTACTGTGTCCGCAGTCTCTGGTCATCCCTGTACTGTCCGCAGTCTCTGGTCATCCCCTGTACTGTCCGCAGTCTCTGGTCATCTCCTGTACTGTGTCTGCAGTCTCTGGTCATCTCCTGTACTGTGTCCGCAGTCTCTGGTCATCTCCTGTACTGTGTCCGCAGTCTCTGGTCATCCCTGTACTGTGTCCGCAGTCTCTGGTCATCCCTGTACTGTGTCCGCAGTCTCTGGTCATCCCTGTCTACTGTGTCCGCAGTCTCTGGTCATCCCTGTACTATGTCTGCAGTCTCTGGTCATCCCTGTCCAGTCTCTGGTCATCCCTGTACCGTGTCCGCAGTCTCTGGTCATCCCTGTACTGTGTCCGCAGTCTCTGGTCATCCCTGTACTGTGTCCGCAGTCTCTGGTCATCCCTGTACTGTGTCCGCAGTCTCTGGTCATCCCTGTACTGTGTCTGCAGTCTCTGGTCATCCCTGTACTGTGTCTGCAGTCTCTGGTCATCCCTGTACTGTGTCCGCAGTCTCTGGTCATCCCTGTACTGTCCGCAGTCTCTGGTCATCCCTGTACTGTTAATTAGTTTGCACTACTGTACGAGTTGTTTTTTCTAAACCAAAAGCTCGATATTCAGGTTTCATTGCAGTGTTGGCACTTTGAAAGAAATAAGTTGGTTTTGGGTTGCAGTTTGGGCACTCGGGCTCAAAAAGGTTCGCCATCACTGTCCTAAGCTATCTGCTAAGAGGCATATTGAGTCCATGGAAGATTTATGTTTTTTCCACAAGTTGTTGGAAAATGACAAAAACATTTTGTTTTTTTACACAAAGCTGTCACTTAAATGATATAGTGCTTCACACAAGCCATGCATATATGTGGAATTACACCCCAAAATACATTCTGTTACTTCTACCAAGTATGGGGATACCACATGTGTGAGACTTTTTGGGAGCCTAGCCACATACAGGAGCCTGAAATCCAATGACCACTTTGAAAGTCTGAAGGTGCATAACTTCCTCATTTCACTTCCTCTCACTACCTATCACAGTTTAGGAGGCCCTAAAATGCCAGGATAACTCCAAAACTTGTGTAAACATACGAGATCTGCAAATTTCTCACCATGCTTCTTATCAAATTCCTTGGGGTGTCTACTTTCCAAAAAGGGGTCATTTGGGGGGTTTAGTGCTATCCTGGTATTTCAGGGCCTCCGAAATTGTGATAGGTAGTCACAAAGTGTAATGAGGAAATAAAGCCCTTTAAAAGTCTAAAGGTGCTCATTGGATTTTGGGGTCCTGTACTTGGCTAGACTGCCAAAAAGTCTCTCACATGTGGTATCCCCATACTCGGGATAAGTAGCAGAAAGTATTTTGGGGGGTAATTCCACATATACCCATGGCATGTATGAGCAATAAATCATTTAAGTGACAATTTTGTATAAAAACATTTTTTTTTTTTCATTTTCCAAAAACTTATGGTAAAAAAATAAATTCTTCCATTGACTCAATATGCCTCTCAGCAAATAGTTTGGAGCGTCTACTTTTCAAAAAGGGGTCATTTTGTGGGGTGGGGGCATTTTATGCCCAACATTACAAGTTTATGCCACACATCACTGACTCTTCTAACCACCTGAAGACCAAGCCTTTTCTGACACTTTTTGTTCACATGAAAAAAAATCAGTATTTTTTACTAGGAAATTACTTTGAACTCCCAAACATTATATATTTTTTAAAGCAGACACCCTAGTGAATAAAATTGTGGGGACCGCAATTTTTTATGTCACATAGTACTCACGCAGCGATTTTTTTTTACTTTTAATTCAGGGAAACACAATATAGTGGCCAATTATTTGGTAAATTATAAAAGATGATGGTATGCTGAGTAAATAGATACCAAACATGACATGCTTTAAAACTGCGCATGCCCCATGCAATGCCGACAAACTGCATACATTTTTAATATCCATAGGCAATGCTTTAAAAGCCTTTACAAGCTACCATTTCAGATTTACAGAAGAGGTCTAGTGCTAAAATTACTGCCCTTGATCTGATGTTCACGGTGATACCTCACATGCATGCTGCAATCGCTGTTTACATACTTGCAAGGGGGGGGGGTGCTTTTTTTCATTTTAAGTTATTTTGATTTTTCAATTATTTTTACACTGTCCCTTTCATTTTTTTTTTCATCACTTTTAATCACAGGGATTGCAAATATCCCCTATAACTTCAATGGGCATTGTCATATATTCTTTTTTGGGAAATCTGGGGTCTATCAGACTCTAGATATCTCCTCTGCCCTTACATTATCTAATTTCACCAAGATCGGTGTGATCAAATGCTTTCCCAATTTACAAATGGCGCTGTTTATATCCTCTGAAACTGAAGTGATGAAATGCTTGTAGCTTCCGATTTCTTAGACTATAGAGATGATTGGTACCATTCCAGTCTCCAATCAGCTCTATGGTCAGCTGCCAGAAACACCGACTGTGTTCTCAAGTTTCCCCAATGGCACAGGACTGCCCGAGAAGGCCGTGGAAGGCAGCGGGGGAGGGGGTATCTTCTCCCGCTGCTTGTAAAAGCAACCCTGCAGCTAATTAGCCACTAGGATTGCTTTTACATTATAGCCGATCGCCAGCTGAAAAAAACTATACCAGGATGATGCATACAGCTGCAGGCATCATCCTGGTATAACCACTCAAAGTCCAGTGATGTACCAGTACGTCGCTGGTCCTTGTTGGGTGTATATGCTTTGTTCTTTTTTTTTTTTATGCAGCCTATGGGCTGAATGGAAAAAAGAGTAGAAATCTCTGCCAGAAAAAGAGTGTGGTATGCTCACCATCACAATATATCGCCCTGCATCCACCCACTTGGGCACACATGAAATGTGCCAAAAAATATTATAAAATATATATGCCGAAGCATAGGGTCCATCCACCCACTGGCCACCCCAGGCCCCCATGCTTCCACATATATGCTCTTTTTTTAACTGCATATGAAAAATCTCATCCAAAAGCATTGCACACACCTACTTATGTATATTCTGAGAGCAAGACCCTGTTGCTGTCAGAATAAACAAGTCGGTGCTGCAGCTGAATGACATTCCCACAAAGAAAACAGCAATGGTTAACAATAAAACAGTAAAATCGTAACAGTAGAACAGTAACAACAACAAAAAAACTATAACTATTTTTGTTTTTTCCGTTTGTTTTTTTGGGGACTTATACTTATTATTTTTAATGTTCTTCTTAACTTTTTTTTAAACTTTAACTTTTTAAAACAGATTGTAGGGTTTCCTGACTACCTAACATCTTTCGAGACCCTATGTAAATATTTGTCCTGAACTGTGCCATGCTGCACCCTATACCAATACTCCACTAGTGTGTGGTAACGACAGAAGCAGTCATTGAGGCAGAGACCAGGACAGGAGGGACAAAAAAAGCGGGTGTCACACCTAATTCCATGTCTGCTACAGACACATCTTTTTTGGGGTGTCGTTTAGGTTGAGGTACCAGGAATGGCATTGGGAAAATGCCTCTCATGCAGCCGGCTAACTGCATCTGTGTTGGGGGTTTGGGCAACAGCACATTCGGATACAAAAGGACCATGATGATTTCTTCCTGGAATTTTAGGAAGGATCCGCTTCCAGTTGCTTTGTAATCCACAAAAGTGTTGTACAGAGCCAACTGAAATAAATATACAGACACTTTTTTTTTTGTACCAGCATCTGGCTTTACGGGAAACTACATACGGCTTCATCATCTTGTTGTTGAAGTCCACCGCTCCCATGTTAAGGTTATAGTCATGGACACAGAGGGGCTTCTCAACAACACCAGTTGCCCTGGAAAATTGGGTGGTCATGTCTGTGTGAATGGAAGACAGGATGAAAACATCCCATCTGTCCTTCCACTTCACTGTGAGCAATTCATCATTTTTCAAGCAGGCTTCTCCCCCTTTCTATGTTGGGTATTTACAAACTGTTGGGGGAAGCCCCCCGTTGATTAGGTCGCACAGTGCCACATATTCCAGTTCCAAGATTGTACAAATGTCTAAAAAGTGTTACGCGTGTATAAAAATTGTTCACGTGTACGTGGTACCCCATATGAAAAAAGTCCCAAATTATCTTGCCACTGCTCCCCATGTAGTCTGGGCATCCGAGGGGCTCCACATGACTATCTTTACCCTCGTAAATCCGAGAATTACATGTATAGCCTGTTGCCCTCTCACAGGTCTTATATATTTTGACCTTATATCTGGCTGGGAAGAAATTGTTTGAATGCAAGGTGGCCAGAAAAATGAATGAGGGACTCAACAGAGATGTTTTGCTGGGGAGTATACACATCTGTAAATTTCTGGCTAAGGTGATTTACGAGGGGTCGAATTTTGTGGAGTCTATTATATCCAGGGTCACCCTGAGGACGACAGGGTATATTGTCATTAAAATCCATAAGTCGCATTATTTTCTCCTGGCCATGGCAGCAGAGAATGTTAGAGTAGTTAAATTTTCTGTTTCCACCTGAATTCTGGGTTGGGCAGTGAATGGGGGAAATACGGGTGCTGCAGAATTTGTGGGCTGCCAATCAAGATTTGAAAGCACATCCGGACGGACAATAGGAGCTCTACGGGCCTGTGTTTGAATTCTTGGTGGCTGCGGGACACCACGGCTAACCACCGCACCAGTTGTACTGCACTTATGGGACTCGCCACATCACCAAGTGATACTGCAGTGCTGGTATGTAAAACACCAGGATGTACTATGCCGCTGGTGCTTCGTCCAGTTGCTTTGCAAAGCACAAAAGCATTATATAGAGCCAATTGAAATAGACACTTTTTTTACCAGCGCCTGGCTTTTCGGGAAACTACGTACGGCTTCATCTTCTGGTTGTTGAAGTCCACCACTCCCATGTTAAGGTTATAGTCGTGGACACAGAGGGTTTGTCAACAACACCAGCTGCCGTAGCAATTTGGATGGTCGTGTCTACATGAATGGAAGACAGCACAAAAACATCCCGTTTGTCCTGCCACTTCACTGCGATCAATTCCTCATTTCCCAAATGTCTAAATAGTGGCACGCTTGAATAAAATTTGTCCATGTACAAGTGGTACCTCATATGAAAAAAGGATGACACCAAGTCCCAAACTATCTTGCCACTGCTCCCCATGTAGTCTTGGCATCTGGGGGGCTCCATGTGACTATCTTTTCCCTTGTAAATCAAAAGTTATATGTATAGCCTGTTGTCATCTCACAGGTCTTATACATCTTGTCCCCATATCTGGCACGCTTGCTGGGATGAAATTGTTTAAATGCAAGGCGGCCAGAAAAATTCATGAGGGACTTGTCAACACAGATGTTTTGCTGGAGAGTATAGATATCTGCAAATTTTTGGTTAAGGTGATTTATGAGGGGCCGAATTTTGTGGAGCCGGTCAAATTCAGGGTCACACCGAGGACGACAGAGTGTGTTGTCATTGAAATACATAAAACACATTATACTCTCATATCTATGCCTGGCCATGGCAGCAGAGAACACAGGCATATGATGAATCGGGACTGTGGACCAATACAACCACAATTAATTTTTTTTAGTAATGCCCATATTGAGAGTTAGGCCCAAAAAAACTTTATATTCAGAAACCATAATGGGTTTCCATGCGAATGGTCTGGCAAGGTTTGAATTTGGGTTGGCGGCGATAAACTGTTGTGCATATAAATTGCTTTGATCCACAATCAATGCATACACATCTTCCTTGAAAAGCAGCTCCAAAAAAAACAAGGGGGGTATTTAAATTTGCTGTTTCCACCTGAATTCCAGGTTGGGCAGTGAATGGGGGAAGTATGGGTGCTGCAGAATTTGTGGGCTGCCAATCGGGATTTGCAAGCACATCCGGAAGGATACTAGGGGCTCTACGGGTCTGTGTGCAAATTCTTGGTGGCTGCTACTTTTGCTCGCCACTGCAGCAGCTTGTACTGCACTTATGGGACTCGCCATGTCACCAAGTGATACTGCAGTGCTGGTATGTATAAGACCAGGATGTACTAGGCCACTGGTGCTTGTCAGTTCACCAAAAGGTAGAGTGGTACTAGTACTGGCACTCTGCTGCATATGAGAGTCATCATGCGATTGTAACATCTCAGCAACCTGGGCATGGGGTCAGGTACAACTGATCTTATCAGGGACCTCTTCTCCATCGTCTGAGCTATCTGTCAGGGTGCCGCTGCTGTCTACAGGTTCGTATTCTGAGGCTGATTGTGTCAGGGAGTCTTCCCCTTCGTTCTCACCTGACATGCTCAGAATCCTGTAGGCCTCTTCACTAGAGTACCTTTCCATTGACATTTTGGCCACTAAATTTATAGGTACCTAGTGCGACTCACGGGAAAAAGAGTGCCTGGCTGTCAGGGACTGCTTGAACTGCTGCAAAAAAAATTACCTGCAAATGCTAACAGAGATCAGGCCTGATTCTGCGAACACTGTGGTTTTTTTGTGCAAAGTGTCAAGTGACAGTGACCAACTGACACTGCACTTGCTGGGAGATGAGGGGGGGGGGGGTAAGCATAGGGGCTAAACGCAGCTGCTGGCAGGTTCTGGGGCTGATCCCGCTAACGCTGCGTTTTTGGGACACTATACTAATATGAACGCTGGTATAGTGTTGATCTGATCAAAGATATTGATCTGTTCAGACACTATACTAGCAATGAAGGATAATTGTGTATGTGAGCGTGTTCCTGGCAATCAAGGGGTTAAATGTGATTACTGGTGTACTGATGGGCAATCTGACGCTATCTGGGAGGGGCGCTGACGCTATCTGAAGTCACCGGTGACACTAATACAGTGATCAGCAAAACAATCTGTACACTGTACTAATGACACTGGTGACAGGGCAGTGAAGGGGTTAACTGGGGGTGGGGCAATCAAGGGGTTAAATGTGACCTAAAAGTGTTCTAACTGTAAAAGTGTGCTGCTTTTACTCACTGTGTCCTGATTCTTCTCTCTCTGGGATGGAATGTGCCCAGAGAGAGAAGATTGCATAAACACAGGTACAGAAAGATCCCTGATAGGAGAGGCATCAATCATCCAATTTAGTCCAACCATCACTGGCCTAAGTCGGATGACTGATCCCCTGGGGATCAAATCACGGCACTTGCGGGTCGGCAGGGGCGTGCATACCCCCCTGGCCCGTGAATACCACAGAAGTGCAAATCACGTATATATGGGTGATTTTCCACAACCGTGCCGCCCTGTAGCAGTATTTCTGCTATAGGGCGGTCGGGAAGCAGTTAATTTCAGTTATAAAATTTTGCAAATAAGTACATTTTCTTCTTCACTGATTTGCTCTGATGTGGCTGCACTGATGAGGCTGCATTGATAAGGTGCAACTGATAGGCAGCACTGATGGACACGAAATTATCTGCACTGATGATCAGTGCCCTGATTATCAGTGTAAATGCGTGCTGTCAGGATTGACGGTTATCAGCTCTCCTTTCCTCACAGTGACACAGCGCTTCCCTATACTCCATCCTTATAAAGACACCTTTCTTAACATCAGCTCCGCATTGAGCGCCGAGCGTCCAGCTTTCGAAAACTGTGACATATGACAAACACCACAACAACCAATCAGAGTGCAGCTTTGTACATCCCCCTGACAATAGCCAGCCCATTGCACCAGAAAAGAGGCTTAGCGTAAGAACCAATTAGAATACATTATTTTTATCCAATCCCTCTTCAAGCATCGTCAGCCTGTTCCCTCAGCCAATGAAAATACAGCAAGTGCTTTCATTTGGCCAATGGCTCTGTGATTCAAAACTCGGTGGGCCGTTCCAGGAAGAAGGAGCCGGTAATGCATAAAATACGGCATCTTCTGCTTCCCTGTAGACGTGCCCGCCTCCTACTAGCTGCCCGGCAGTGCTTGTTGTTGAGTGCCTGCTGTGTGGGGGACACACATAGTAGGAAGAGCAGAGTTGTCAGTAATTCACAGTCATACCTGACTACCCTTCAGTAACATTTAGCTTAGCTACATAACTGAGTGAAGCGGACGATGCTCATGGAGGCATTTACATTACAGAACAGGCTGGAAAAGAGTTGTAACCTCTTGCCTACCAGGCACTTATACCCCCTTTCTGCCCAGGCCAATTTTCAGCGCTGTTGCACTTTAAATGACAATTACATGGTTATGCAACACTGTAATCATTTGAAATTTTAGTAATTGTTTTCACACAGAGCTTTCTTTTGGTGGTATCTAATCACCACTGGGGTTTTTATTTTTTGCACTATAAACAAAAATGAGCAAAAAATCTGAAAAAAGTTTTTCTTTGTTTCTATGATAAAATTTTGGAGAGGTAATTTTTCTCCTTCACTGATGTTCATTGATGAGGCTGCACTGATAGGCAGCACTGATGAACACTGATAGGCAGCACCGAAGGGCACTGATGAGGTGGCATGGATAGGCTCCACTGATGATGTGGCACTGATGATGCTGCACTGATATGCAGCAATGATGGGCACTGATGGTCGATGACAGGCGGCACAGATGGACGCAACTGCTGGACAGCAGTGATAGGTGGAACTCATGGGCACTGATGGGCATTGATAGGTGGCACTACTGGGCACTGATGGGTGCAACTGCTGGGTGGCACTGCTGAGCAGCACTGATGGGTGGCACTGATAAGCACTGGTGGGTGGCACTGATGATCACCTGATTATCAGTGCAGATGTTCTCTGTGACAGTGTGAGGAAAGTGCTGCCCATAACCGGCAACTGTACTTACTTTGTGATCTGCTGTGTCATTGGACACAGCTGATCATGTGGTAAAAGATTTGCCTTTTACAAAATCATGTGATCAGCGATCACTGACAGCGCCCGGTGTGCGCCGCGGGGGGTGTGTTCTGGGAGGACGTCATATGACTCCCTCCCAGAACTGGACAACTGCACTGTAGCCATCATTTGGCTATAGCACGGTTGTAAAGTGGTTAAAGCAGACCTTCATCCACAATTATTACATGTCATTATTCAACAGCCCCCCACTCCCTGTTATACTTTTAAGGGCTCGTTCACACTTGTGGCCCAGCGTTGGTAAAATTCTGTGGTTTAGCTGTGTTTTTAAATTCACCTGATCACTCCTCCTTTTAGTTGGCGGGAATTAAACCTCCTGTCATTTTCAGCAGGCAAAGTGCCCACCGAATACGAGCCATTCAAGTGAACAGGGCCGCTCTGCAAGCACTCCACAATCGTGTGCAATGCATGCGGATGCGGCGCAAAAGTGCAGGGTTCAAGGGGTTAAAGCAGGCTTCCTCATTATTTGTCATATTCTTTCTGAAAAGTGATCCAAATGCAGAGCACTCTTCAGGGACCAAAGCTAAAGTGAATGAACCCTAATTTTCTTTTTTTTCATACCAAATCTCTTTTTCAGCAAGAGCTTGCTTCTACCTACCCAGTCCGAGCCTAGGCGCAAATTACTTTGCGATTGGCCTGCCCCCCTCCGTTGCCTTCTGGGATACATGGCTCATGTCAAGGACCATCTCTGCCAGCTGTTGGATATTGCACATGTTCAGTAAGAGGGCTGGCTGTGAATGGTCAGGAATTCACAGGCAGCTCCCCAATCCAAAAGGGCAGCATGGGAACAAAAACAGTGGCCTATAGGTTCTAGTAAAGACACCACTGGGCGTCTGGGGCTGGTAAATATGTGATTTTTAGGAGTCATAGCAATGATGGGGCATTGTTTACTCATCTTGACACCAGGGCATTTTCTACTCACACTGACAGATCGTTCCTCCTATAGTCTGAAGAACAATGGTCCTTTGTTTGGAAAGTTTGGAGACCCCTGCCTTAATGAATTCCCTGCAAATGTGGTGAAATGTTTAGGTAGCAGTATACTCACTCACCACTCTTATGAAGCGCCCTCTAGTGATAAGCTTTGTTGTTTTGGTAGTTAGAGGCTGGGTAACACCCTGGGATGAGTCAGTCTGGGAGTGACGTGGAGTGAGTTCACCTCAGGAAAGGCTGGGAGGCTCTACAAGTCAGGGCTTCGGCAGCCCTCCCACCCTTTCAGAAACTGCAAGGACTTTCTGGAAGAGGAGGGGAGGAGGCCCTGATCTGCATGTTTAAGGGAACTTGGCCAATCCCCATGCAGGAGGCCAGGCATGGTGGCTAAGGGCAACCTTTAAATGTAGCAGAGCCTGTGTAGCAGGGGAGTTATTGCTGGAGTCGGGTGGAAAAGGGACTGGTGTGTGGAGCCTGGGAGGGGCCCCAGGGAGGAGAGCCTATCTACAGGCAGGATACTGCAAAGAAGGATCTCCACGGCCCAAAGCCTCCTTGGGAGGACATCCTGTGTAGCAGGGAAAGAGCCAGACCAGCCTAAGGCCTGAAAGTGGCTACCAACCCATCAAGCTGACAGGACAGTGTGAGTACTTCTACACCCCCTGGGCCAGACAAAGGGAGACGGTGGTCAGGTGCAAGGCCCAACTAGTTTTCATCTGAGACCACTTAATTGTTAACTCTTGGAATCCCTTGCCCAGGGATACCCTCAGTGCAGCTGGGTGAAGAGGAAGGTTCATCTGGGGTTTGAGAAGGTACATCAAGGGAACTTCAGTGTTCCTTAAAGAAACAGTGCTGTTTTCCTGATCTATATTTTTTTGCCCCATATACAGTTTGCTGAGAAGTTTGTCTTCAAGTTTGCAGCTCCTTGGGCATCCTATATACCCCTAGACCACATCCAAGTTGTTTACCCCTCAATACACAAAAACAACTAAAAAACAGCTCAAAGACAGTCTTATTGATTTTGTGTGTAAAGATGTAGAAAATGCATGTTGACTGGCTGTGCAGAGCTTAGGGGGACCCAAACAAATCCAGTGGCTCCTACAGGGGTAGTGCTACACATACTTGAACCTTCTCGCTTTGTGGCTTCCTACAGTGCACACCAAGGAGAGGAGCCAGAAGCACTGTCAGGGGACCCTAGAAGAGGATAATTGGGGCCACACTTATGTTTATTTAAAAAAAAAAAATAACTTTACAATCACTTTCATAGCTTTGGGTTGCTCACGTTCACAGCACATTAATTCCGTGAAAAATCACTGCATTCAGCAGACAACATTCAGAAGCTGCTGTTCTGCATCTCTTGAAAAGTGATCCTCATCCATCATGGATTGCTTTTCAGAGGGAGGTACACTGCAGCCTGTGTGAACCTAGCTTTTAACAGGATAGAAAAATGCCAGAATTTCTTATCTCTTTATTTGTTCCAGGTCAAAGACTCATATAGCACTGAGGTCAATGCATCAGCATGACAAAAAACTAACATTCTCAAAGCAGAGGTACTCAATAGTATAATAGCAGGCCCCAAATGCTCTCAAAACAGTCACTTTAAAAGGATCTGCCCCTAGTGGCCAGCAGGGAAGAGCAAGGAACATCCCCTATCTAAAGGGATGCCGAGGATGCCTGCTTTCATCTATCACAGGAGCTGTGGCAGCCATGTCTGAGGATCATGAAGGGGATCCAGGCTCTGGGCTGTGCAGGGTGTCTGTACTCTGCTGTCTGACACTGGCATGTTCATATGTAGGCAGCTTGTATGTATGGAAGAGCGACCTGCCCAGGTATGGCTGTAGGAGGACTGCTGGGGTAACAATATGGAGACCATAGAGGGTAGAGAGATTAGCCTGCAGACAGAAAGTGGACTACAGGAAACTAGATACTTGTCAGGGAAGTGATACTGAGACGAAACTTTCCCTGGATTCCAGGCTGGGATGTGACTGATGAACTGTCCACTCATATATGTTTCTATTCTCCATACAGAGATCACCCTGCTGTCATCAAGAGGAGGTTTACCAGCGTACTGATTGTATCCTCATTATCTCCGTTATTCCTGTCGGTATGGAAGGAGTTAACTGGCATCAAGGTATGTAAAAGCCCAAACCAAAATCTGTGTCCCCAAAAACGTTTATTGTTCCTCACTATGACAGCTGGATGTCAGGACCCTCTGTCTGAAGAAGGCAGCAGTAAGCTCTGTAGTATATTAGCCTGGGTCATTTTACTTGTTTTGCCCCTCTTTTGCTACAGCTTGCTACACTTTTATGTTGATTCCAAAATTTTACTTTACACAAGTCTTAGCTTACATATCTGGTGTTGGTCAATAGGGATGAGCTCAGATGTGTTCAGACATGAATCCGAACCTGCATGGGCTATCCTGCCAGGTGCTGTCATTGTGAACATCCAATCCTAAGCGGTCGAGGCATTCCCAGCCCTGCAACTGGATCTCAGAAAATCAGAATATTACATGCAATCAATAAAACAAGGACTGCACATAGAACAATATCGGACCTCTGAAAAGTATAAGCATGCATATATACTCGGTACTTGGTTTGGGCCCCTTTTGCAGCAATTACTGCCTCAATGCAGTGTGGCATGGAAGCTATCAGCCTGTGGCACTGCTGAGGTGTTATGGAAGATCAGGATGCTTCAATAGCGGCCTTCAGCTCTTCTGCATTGTTCGGTCTCATGTCTCTCATCTTTCTCTTGGCAATGCCCCATAGATTCTCTATGGGGTTCAGGTCAGGTGAGTTTGCTGGCCAATCAAGCACAGTAATCCCACGGTCATTGACCCAGGTTTTGGTGCTTTTGGCAGTGTGGGCAGGTGCCAAGTCCTGCTAGAAAATGAAGTCAGCATCTCCATAAAGCTCTTCTGTGGAAGGAAGCATGAAGTGCTCCAAAATCTCCTGGTAGATGGCTGCGTTGACCCTGGATGAAGCATGGCTCCCCAAATCAACACAGACTGTGGAAACTTCACACAGGACTTCAAGCATCTTTCAGTGTGTGCCTCTCCATTCTTCCTCCATACTCTGGGTCCTTGGTTTCCAAATGAGATGCAAAAGTTGCTCTCATCAGAAAAGAGGACTTTGGACCACTGAGCAACAGACCAGGTCTGTTTTTCTTTAGCTCAGGTAAGATGCTTCTGACGTTGTTTGTTGTTCAGGAGCGGCTTGACAAGAGGAATACAACATTTGAAACCCATATCCAGGATCCGTCTGTGTGTGGTGGCTCTTGATGCACTGACTCCAGCCTCAGTCCACTCCTTGTGAAAGTCCCCAACACTTTTGAATGGCCTTTTCCTGACAATCCTTTCCAGGCTGAGGTCATCCCTGCTGCTTGTGCACCTTTTTCTTCCACACTTTTCCCTTCCACATTTTTTTCTATTAATGTGCTTTGATACAGCACTTAGGGAACATCCAACTTCTTTTGCAATTACCTTTTGAGGCTTTCCCTCCTTATGGAGGGTGTCAATGATAGTTTTCTGTACAACTGTCAGGTCAGCATGATTGTGATTCCTACTGAACCAGACTGAGAGACCATTTAAAGGCTCAGGAACCCTTTGCAGGTGTTATGGCTTAATTAGCTGATTAGAGTGAGACACTTTGAGCCTAGAATATTGCACCTTTTCACAATATTCTAATTTTCTGAGATTGTGGATTTCGGTTTTCATGAGCTGTAAGCCATAATCATCACAATTATGACAAATCACGACTTGCACTATCTTGCTTTGCATGTAATAAGTCTATCTCATGTATTAATTTCACCTTTTAAGTTGCATTACTGAAATAAATGAACTTTTGCCCGATATTCAAATTTTTTGAGTTTCACCTGTATACAAGTGATGTTTAGATATGCGGCTGCAGAGCAGGCAATGCCGCTTAGGATTGGCTGTCTGTAGTGTAAGCTTCCTAGCGGGATAGCTCATGTGGGTTCAGACTTGAGTCCGCTCACGTTTGAGCTCATCCCTGTTAGTGAGGGCTAACACACCTCTAACAACCAGAATAAATATCCTTTTATTTTAGGCTGAATCTGTGCTATTTATTTTGTATCTGTATGTGAATGCATAGTTTGGGGACATAAGGACATAAGGCTCCATCTAATCAGATCTGAATGAAAGCTCCATGTTAGTCTATGGGGAAGCTTATATAAAGGGATGTGCATCCATTTAGGTTCAATTTCCTCCAAGCCTGTCTAGGTCCAAAAAAAAATAAAATGGAAAAGGTCTGTGCCCTTTTCCAATTTTTTTCAACATAGATGTGACTTATCTGAGGTATCGTTTTTACATCTGCCTGCCCAAAGGCCTAACATTGGTCTGTTAAGCTCCAGGAAGGCAAAACTGAAAAGTAACATCTGTACCACTCAGCTCTGATTTTGCAGAGGATCAATTCACAGATGGCTCCATCCATTGTCTTTGCATGTGGAACAAACCCCCACATAATATTTCCATTCAAAAGGCGCATTGCACTGCTCATTGCCCCTTCAATTAAAAGAGAAGTATGGACAAAGCATTTTTGGCCAAGCTTCTCTTCTGGCCCTCAGTAGCGCACTTACTTTTGCTTTCCTGTGACCCAGAGTCAGCTAATAGCAGGCTATTGCCTGCTTTCAGCTGATGTAGCAGAGCCACTCCAGGCTCTGGAAGGATCCTGACCATGTTTTCAGGATCCACCCAGCTGCCTGATTGACAGCCGGCTCTGGGTCTCAGCACTTTGCTAAGATCCAATGCCAGCTGGGCCCACCTCACTCTCCAGTCCCATGCTCCAGTAAGCTCTCGAGGGGCAGCACAGAGAGCAGGAACTGACAGTCGCTGCTATCCAGTCAGAGCTGCCTGAGAACTGAGCGATCACCGGTCATATGATCACTCTTTCTCGTGCTTATAGCCGGTGGTGGACAGCTCCAGCATTGGACTGATGTTGTAGCATGAAGGTGGGTATGTATGTTTTTTGTTTTATCCCATACTTCTATATCTAACTCCAACCCTTTTTTTCATTTTGGATAGAGTAGGGGAGGGTAAGCGTTTGTTCACACCTCTGCGGATGAGTTCTGCATATAAGGCAGCCCATTCATTTTAGTATGCTGTCCTATCCACAGAAACAAAGGGAAAGGCTAGGGGACTAGCCCCCCTTTTTTTTTTTTTTCTTTTTTTTTAACCACTTGCCTACCGGGCACTTATACCCCCTTATTTACCAGGCCAATTTTCAGCTTTCAGCGCTGCCGCACTTTGACAATTGCGCGGTCATGCAACATTGTACCCATATGAAATTTTGATCATTTTTTTTCTCACAAATAGAGCTTTCTTTTGGTGGTATTTAATCGCCACTGGGCACTTTACTTTTTACGCTATAAATAAAAAAAAGTGCAAAAAATTTGAAAAAAAAAAGTTTCTTTGTTTCTATTATAAAATTTTTCAAACAGGTATTTTTTCTCCTTCACTGATGTGCGTTGATGAGGCAGCACTGATGGGCACTGATAGGCAGCACTAAAGGGCACTGATAGGCAGTACTAATGAGGTGTCACGGATAGGCGGCACTAATATGCAGCACTGATAGGCGGCACTAATATGCAGCACTGATAGGCGGCACTGATAGGTGACACTGATGATGGGTACTGATAGACGGCACTGACTAGCATCACTGCTGGGCACTGACTGGCGGCACTGACTGGCACAACCCCTGGGCACTGACTGGTGGCACTGACTGGCAGCACTGGTGGGCTGCACTGGTGGGCGGCACTGGTGGGTAGCACTGGTGGGTGGGCACAGGTGGGTGGCACTGGTGGGCACAGGTGGGTGGGCACGGGTGGGTGGCACTTCTGGGCACAGGTGGGTGGCACTTCTGGGCACAGGTGTGTGACACTGCAGAGTGGCACAGGTGGGTGCACTGCTGGGCACAGGTGGGTGCACTGCTGGGCACAGGTGGGTGATCTGCTGGGCACAGGTGGGCGAAGCTAGTGGGCGCACTGCTGGGCACAGGTGGGCAGAACTTGCGGGTGGCACTGCTGGGCACTGATCATCAGGGCACTGATCATCAGTGCCCTGATGATCGGTGCTGATCCCCGCTCTGACAACTGCCAGTTCTCGGCAGTACTTTCCTCACGATCTGACAGCGTGAGGAAAGTGCAGCCGAGAACCGGCACTTGCATTTCCCTCTGATCAGCGTGTCATTGGACACCGCTGATCACGTGGTAAAAGGCCGCTGTGTTTGCCCTTTACCACATCACGTGATCAGCTGTGTCACGGAGATCGCCGGGTGCGCGCCCCCTGGGACGCGCAGGAGAGCACGTTCTGGGAGGACGTCATATGACGTCCACTCAGAACTGGCCGGCTATCTGCGGTCGGCAACTAGTTAAATCGCATTACATCACCATGATGACAATGGGGGTTTCTGGTTTTGCCATCATTGTTGATTGTCATAGTTGTTCCTTTATGGGTGCGTATGTGTTTAATGCAATGAAATGTTTTATCTTTGTTTGTATATAAAAAGTGGTAAACTGTAACTTGCTGAAACCATGCAATGAGTATATTATTATAATACAGGATTTATATAGCACCAACAGATTACACAGCACTTTACAAAATGAAGGTAAACATTAAAGTTACAATACAATTTGGCACAAGAGGAAACAGAGGGCTCTGCTCATTAGAGATTACAATCTAAGAGGAAGGGTTGAGTGATACAGCAGTTAATAGCTGTGGGGGATGAGCTGATGGAGGAACTAAAAGGCAGTTTACTAGTTAGAAACAGGATAGGTTTCTTTAAAGAGAGAGGTTTTCAGGGATCGTCTAGGTGCATAGATTAGGAGATAGCCGGGCAGATTGGGATAGGGAGTTCCATAGGATGGGAGAAGTCCTGGAGGCGAGCATGGGAGGAGGTGACACGGGAACTAGCGAGCAGAAGGTCTTGGGAGGATCGAAGACAGCAGTGTGAATGATATGTTGATACCAGGTTGGTGATGTAGCTGGGGGCAGAGTTGTGGATGGCTTTGTAAGTTGTTAGTATTTTGAATTTTATTCGTTGGTCGAGTGAGAGCCAGTGGAGTGATTGGCAGAGAGGGGTAGCAGACACTGAATGGTTGGTAAGGTGGATGAGCCTG